CCCCAAAACCCCAAAACCCCAAAACCCCAAAACCCCGTAATCAAAGATAATTATAAAGTTTTGGATAAATTGTTAAATTGTGAAATAAAATGCATACCATAAAGCCTAAAAATGGTAATCCCTACTCTTAATAATCATTCTGAAATACTTTTAGATTTATTTAGCGGATAAAACTATTCCTACAATAACGCAATAAATAATAATACAGCAACCAATGTAAATTATCCAAAAATTCTGACTGATGTTAATTTAGGAGAGAAGTTCTTCTCAGATGAATTAGAATTAAGGTAATGATTAGACATTCAATTTGATATCTGAAAATAACAATTATCACTTTAGACTAGACAGTATACAATATGAGAGCTAGTCCTAATCAACCACCATAGTCAAATGGCTTCACTCGTAACTATGCTTAGTTCTTTGGCTTAGATAGAGAATAAGTGTCTCCAGATATATCAAAGCAGGCAAAGGATTATTCTGCGCAATCTCCATCGGTATTCAACAATTCAGCTTAAATGAGTCTGAAACGACTTAACTAAAAAGGAGCTATGAACTCTGGCACCGATGAACCCTACAGAATAAGAACCAACCTGAGGAGAAATCCTGAGTTCCAAGTAAACCTAAATAACTTTTGGGGATAACCGATTCCTGAAAATGCATAGTTTTAAAGAAATGAGAAGTAGTTCTTCAAAGTTTAATCAAATCAATAAGCTGGCAGACCATTCTAGTTTAAGAACAATCTTTCAAAGAATGCAGGCAATGTAATTAATGATGTTAAAAAAATGACTTCAATACCAAACGCTAACATTAGTAAATCAGTAGACATGAATGGGCAAAACTATAATAAGGATGTTAAGAAATTCTTTGGTATTCCAAGCACTCATTACTAAAAAGATTAGCCATTAAATTAGGAACAGTTGAAATAATTTGAGGGAGTCAGCTAATAGGCGATTATTGATTAAACATTTGAAAAGAATAGAAAAGCCTTCTTTAACGCTTATACTCCAGATCCTAATCAAAAGTTAAAGTTAAAAGCCTAAGCCCAGAAATTTGAGCAATACTTAAACAAGAAAAACTATGACGAGGAGAGAAAAATTGATAGCAAAGCTAGTTCGTATATCGCAGCTAAACATCGATTCTTTGGTTTGGAAAGCGAGTAAGTCTCATCAATTATTTAAATAACACTATTATAGCAATTCATACAACAAAAACGCTAAGATATTCTACGGGTTCGATAATAATCCAGACAAATCAGTTTCAACTTTTAATGAAAGCAAGTAAAACCTTAATACATCTGCTACTGTGCTTGGAAGACCAAAGGACTATTCCAACTTCTATTAAACTAAGAATAAGGTAGTATCACTAGCTAAGGTGAATTATGATCCTCAACCAGGTAGCACATACAATATAATAACAGGTGTGATTCAAAGGAAAGAATGATTGGATGAGGTTAAGTGCTCATGAATCAATAAGTTATTTGCTTATTTAACTTTATAAAATATTAACTGATGTATTTATTAAATTAAGATATAATTAAGTTAATAGTCATCTAAGTAATATTCTAGGTTTCATTGAGCTCTATAGCTATCCATTTTATAATTGGGAGCCACAGTGTAATTATAAGGGAAATCACCATCTGGAATGTTGTTATTAGCTGCGTAAGTTGGCTTTTGGTCTATTGGATTGGCAATAAACTGCTCAAATCCATAAGCTTTATTTCCAGTATTATGCCTAGAAATCAGAGTCTACGGCAGTTCCATGTTTTACCTTACCTGCATAAGCTTGTTTTCAGGTACAATATGTGGTATACTATTTATCATCATATGAGTTGGAAGAAGTTTATTTTCTGTTTGATGGAACATTGTATTTGCGAGATTGCTTTGAATGTTAGGCTAAGACTAAATTTATGATTAATACTTTGCTCTCATTGGATCAAATGATGCATGTCTTGCAGACTAGAATCTAATGTTTGGGTTCACATGGGGTTAGTGGGGTGTTTGGTCAGTTAGCTAATTTTGATTGCTAGTTTAGTAATGCCTACTTGTCAACTAAGGTTGAGTTTATTGCTATCTAGGGGAGATCAAACTTTGACTGAATGTAGGGTCCATCTAATTGAACTATTTATTGAATGCTTTATCAAGGTACTTGTCCTGGATTTCCTATCCAAACTACTTTATACCAGGGATTTTGTGATACAAATTAAGCTGATCAACATTCTAATAGGCTCTAATATCAGCATCATTGACTCTCCTTTCATGTTCAGTCATCACACTGTCAAACTACTTCATCATGTTCTTGCTGTTCATTTGCTGTTCCAAGGTCTTAGAATAGTCCTCTTACTGCTTCCTCATCAACTCTTTTTTTTGTTTATCTAATATTTCTTCGGCTTATGCTTTCGCTCTTACTTATTGCCCATAGAACTAGTCAGCATCTCTGTCTGTTTGTTTTAGTAAATTTTTCATGCCTACCTAGTTATCAAGTGCCTAGTTTTACACTCTTCTTGTACTTAGCCGCCTTTACTCATCATTTTATTCTCTTAAAAGCTCCTTCTAGTAATTCTGATTCTCATATTTCTCATTCTCCTTGTAAAATTTATCTTTCTCATCCTGCCTGTTGTTTTACAGATACTTATCGAGGTAGTCTCTACTAGCTTCAGTTGCATTCTTCTTTCCATTTATCAGGTCTAGATATCTCTAGCGGTTTTATTCCATTTATTGAGCTTACCATTATCCATTTAAGTTAGATTCGTCATCTTTAGGTTTGTTTTTGAGACTTGCTTAGTAGTCTAAAATATCCTTGTATTAGGCTTAATCTTGCTTTTGCTTGAGTTTATCTTATAAGTCTTTTTGCTACTGCTCAGTCATTGTTTAATCATACTAAGACTTGAATCTCTAACTCTCTAATACTCTATTCTAATGATCTCTATTTAATTTGTCCTTGTAATCACCTAAACTAAGATTTTGATTCTCTTTCTTCATCTGTTCAAATTTCTTTCTCTTTTGCTCTTGCTCTTACAATGAATTCAAATAGCCCATATTATCCTTTTAAATCATTGCCTAAGCAAATACCTGGTCTTGCATTTGCTGATTCATTTGATTTTGTTGCCTGAGATTCTTTTAATAATCTAGGTCATCTTTATATTTTTGCTACCTATCTTTTACCATCATCTTAGCCTAGTGCTCAGACATTTTAACTATTTCATCTTAATGCTAAGCCACTGCTGCCCATTCATTAAATATTTCTAAATAAAAATTAACAGATGGAAATATACTCTATTTCTCCATAATTGGCAAATGCCTTTTTCTTCTTTGAGATTCAGTTGTTCGATCTGTCAAGGGATACTGCTAAGTGCTGTTAAACTGAAGGGACTAAGTCATTGGATTATTTCTCATTTGCCTCTTTGAAACAATAAGTTCCTTAAAGTCATTCTGAATGTCATCGACAGGTATGTTTTGATTTAGTCTATTATCTGCCTGAGTTTCCACAATTTACTCAATATCTTGTTAAAACTAAAACAATAAATCTCGGTTTAAATGCTAGTTTAGCTTACATCAGGACCTAGCTGTTACAACAAATTATTCTTGAGTTTCTCCTTTTTCCTGAGGTTCAATATTTCATCTCTTCTGCCCTTGGTTTAATTATTTGGTTAGTTGATAAGGCCAGTCTTACTGCCTTAGTTATCATAGTCAGTTGCATTTTGAGTATAATAATTGGCTTTAAATTAATCGTACATCATTTTTAAAACTAATTGATTATTACTTTTTTAATTCAATTTTTCAAAGAAAATATTTCATTAAGGGGTTTTGGGGTTTTGGGG